ACACACACACGCGCACACACACACACACTGTCTCACTGTCTTAAAGCAGAAATTTTCAGAGCATTAAAGGGAGAATGAAGGGTGGTAAATATTGTCCACTTAATCATAGCCAGGTTGCTTATTTGGGGAGCATAGTATTCCAATAGAAAACAACCAAATCAGTAATAATAATAACAACAATAATAATAATAATAATTATAAATGCATTATTACATGTCTGTATGTCATTCTTGGTTCTTTAAGAGATATTTATGACATTTGCATATATGTGTGTCTTTGGGGGGCTGCAGTGTGTGCCATGTGCCACAGCATGCTTTTGAAGGTAAGACTGTGAGTACCACAACTGTGGATCCCAGGAACCAAACTTAGATAGTCAGGATTGGTGGCAATCTTCTTTACCTGCTGGGACATCTCAACAGCCTTCATTCTTAGTTCTTTGCATGCTCCGTCACGTTTACTCAACACCCTGCAAGATGGTCACCATTGTTCCCTTTCTATAAATGAAGAAGTAGAGTCAAGAGGGGGATTTGGAAGCGTAATCAGTTTGCACTGTCCATTACATCCCTGCCTTGCTGCTTCTGAAGTCTCCAGTGGTTCAGGTGGCCATCTCTACCTGCATGATGCTGACTGTTAACTGGTTCACCCTCAAAGGGCTGGAAGCCTTCAAGTATGATGCTATCAGAACTGTGCCGTACAAGTTCATCTTCCTTTCACTTGAGAAATAATTTCAAGAATTTGAAATTGTTGAATATCAATTGATTATTGTAGTTACACAGGACTGTCAAATTAGTCTTCCTGCTGGTATAATTTATGTTTTTGCTGATTACTCTCAGGCTATAGATAATATGTATGAACAAAACGTCGTGGCAGGTTTCTTCCTGTTTTCTGTCCAAGTGTTGTGTGAAATAAAGGTTTAGATGCTCGTACTGCCATTCACTATCCAGTTTTAGCTTTCCTGTAAGTATAGCAATCCACCTCTTATCAGCACCATCTCTTGCACTTCCTAAAAGGAGAATGTAGCTTCTATTTTTTTGCAACAATTCCTGATTTCAGCCATTCCAGTGTCCATAATTTAACATGACGTGTCTGGGCAGGTGGAGTGACTTGAACTCCTATTGTCAAGGAATCTAGTTGAGAATGCTGATTTTTGACCTGAAGCAGAAACCAGCCAGGTTGGTCTTGGCAGCCTGTGGTATGTAGAGTTCTTCAGGATCCCTATGCCTTCAGGTAGATAGGGGTCCATGCAGGGCTGGACAGTGTACCTCCTGAGCCCTCCAACCACCTTCAGATGTCTTCCATCACTAGTTTGGGTGAGCAGCAAGTCAGGTTCCTCAGTGGCCTCTGGAAGGATCTAGGGATGGTATAAGAAAGAATGAGACAATCATCAGGGTTGTTTAGCAGACTGACATAGCTATTTCTCTTCCTGCAGCAAAGCCAGAAATCCTGACGTCTGACAGGCTCGCGAATGGTATGCTCCAGTGTGTGGCAGCGGGATTCCCAGAGCCCACAATAGATTGGTATTTTTGTACGGGAACAGAGCAAAGGTGAGAGGATTATTTTTGGCACTGCTTAAAATTCAGAAGGGAAGGGCTATAATTCAATTGCATTTCAAATGTGTTTTCAGACTTACTATTTATTTATATTTTTTTTAGAATAAAAAGCTGCATTTTGATAATTTCTTTTTCTCCTATATCTTTGTGGCTTTTTAAGAAGGGATAATGGCTATATTTTTCTTGGTCGACATTAATTTTGTTTGCTGAAAAATGATTACTGAATGCCTTCTCTATTTTGGTAGTTATCTTTTTGGGTTTATCGTGCAATTTCTAGCCTGCAGGTAGATAAAGCAATTTCCCAGGGCAGAGTAATTAGATTTCCATTCTATACACAGGAGGCAATGTGTGTGGGAAATGTGGCTGCAGTTATCATGAAAAAAATTACCTCAGAAGTTAATTGCCAAGTAACCAAAAAGTAATGATCGCACAATTACAACATACATATGGCGTTTGTGAGCAATGGGTTTGAAAAAGTGTTTCTCCTTGATTAGGTGCCCAACCCCTGAAAAAGGAACATCTGCCATTGTGTGGCTTTCCCTCGACGTCCACACTTAAGCCTTAAATTGTCCTCTTGAATTACCTGAAGATGAAAACAGGGTCAATGTGCCATTTTTACACATCAAACACCGTGTTATACTCCAGTTTCAAAAGCTTAGTTTGGCCTCATGGATAGTCAGAATGGCGGTGGAAATCTTATTTTACATGGAAGACATGCAAACACCGTGTTATACTCCAGCCTCAAAAGCTTAGTTTGGCATCATGGATAGTCAGAATGGCGGTGGAAATCTTATTTTACATGGAAGACATTTTATGACAACACGTTAGGATGTTGGCTTGTTGTTTTGGTGTGGGTTTCACCAGAATGTTTTGTTTGGGGGGTACATAAAACCTCTGAATGCTGTGCCTTCCATGACATGGCCTGAGTAGATATCTTGCGCTCAGCAAAATGTTTACATGGAAGCCAACTGTGTGCCAGATGCTTGTCTAGTGTACACCATGCTCGGCTGTACCCACATCTCTGCCTGGGTGTATCTGAATTCTAGTGGGCATAGAAGAGATAGCAGACAAGATGAGCAATTGATTGGTATGTGTAGGTGTTTAGAAGGCAATGGAAAAGAGGTGTTCAGAGACTGTTTCCTGGAGATCCTTGCAGCCAGAGTGGTCATCACACACATGGCATGTGCTCCCATCTCCGAACCTAACTTTTTGAGTTTTTTGTTTTGTTTTGTTTTCAGGCTTGTTGATTTCCTGCAATTTCCTCTTCTACACACTTTATCTTCAACCATCACTCATGCTTTCCAGATTTGTTTCTAAAAGTCTGTGGTACAGTGGGGTTTAGTGCCAGCAGCCATTTGAGTCCATTCCTTTCAGCTACCCTTGAGATGGTACAGCCACAGAAACCTAGCAGTGAAGAGTTGACAGAACCTGGCAAAAGTCACCAGGTCGGGCACTTGGAGTCAGGGCACAGGTCCATGTCCAACCTCTAAACCATTGCTCCCTTTCTGGTTTCCTTCAGTACTTTCCTCACTTAGAGGTCCCCAGGGGGCTCATTCTCCTTGGGCCATCCTGACCTGATGGCTGGGAAAGGGAGTTTTTATTGAGCCTGAGTTTCTAGTCATACAAATGTGCCAGATCAAAGTGTCACATGCTTTTATTTGGTTTCCTGGTATAAGCCCACACTGTCGATCTCTTATTGTAGGTGTGCCGTTCCCGTCCCACCAGTGGATGTACAGATCCAGAACGCTTCTGTGTCACCATTTGGAAAACTAGTGGTTCAGAGTTCCATAGACTCCAGTGTCTTGCGGCACAACGGCACAGTGGAGTGTAAGGCCTACAACGATGTGGGCAAGAGTTCCGCCTTCTTTAACTTTGCATTTAAAGGTAACAACAAAGGTATATTTCCTTTTGATCCAATTTAAGGGGATATTTAGGCTCTGTGTACCATACCATGATCTTAACTCCATTCCAATATTGGCCATAACATTTCTGGTAATGCCTACATCACACTGTGCTGTCATCAAACTCACAAACTCTCATTCCATACTAGTCTGCTGATGAAGTTTTGATTTTATCAATGTAATATTAGCCATTTTGCTTTACTTGTTCTCTTTGTGTTTGTCCGAGCTTCTCGACAAGTTACATGTGTGCAGTTATAGTTGAGTAAGGGAACCTTCCTTCATTCTACTCAAGTATAATTAGGAAACTTTAAAAAGTTTAAATTCACTGGATGTGGTGGGTGGTGCACAACCTTTAAGCCCAGCACTCAGGAGGCAGAGGCTGGTGGATCTCCATGAGTTTGAGGCCAGCCTGGTCTACAAAGCGAGTTCCAGGGCAGCCAGGGTTACACAGAGAAACCCTGTTTTGAGAAACATAAGTAAAAATAAATAAATAAATTCTATTTATGACTTTAGTTATTTAAGATGAGTTACATTTTCTTAAATATCTGTGTCAAAATATCTTGTCAGCCAATAGTTTTTCCCCAATTTTATTTGTGTGTGTGTTTGTACATGTGTGTGTAGACATGCTTGTGCACCTGCACTGTCAGAATCGTACAGAGCATGTGCATGCTATGTGGATGGCCTTCTGTGGGCTATACTCCTTGTCCAGCCAGTTCTTTAGGTTCTGCTTCCTGAGTGACTAGCAGGCCACATGACCCTTGAAGGCACTGATGAATGGGCATATATGAGACAAGGAAACTGGGCATCTGAGTTTGCTTTTAGTGCCCAGTTTCTGTGGTGTCCAGCATTGGCCATAGGGCTCATGCCAAAAAGCTGCATGACCTCAGCCTTTGGATAAGGAAGAGCAGAGGCCTAACACTGCTCTCTGTATTGTTACTTTTCCCAGACAGAGCAATGAAAAGGACGCCTCGAAAATGCCTTTCCTCTCTGCCAAAGGCATTGATGTTCAGGGTAGAAAGTATAAGAGAGCAGGAAGAAAATGCAAAGCACCCAGAAAGGAAGTTCATTCAGATGTTGCTTTTTACTGAAACAGCATAACATTATGTGTATGCTACAGAAAGTTCGTTTTCTTTGTAATCTGGTTTTAACTTACATCTCTGGAGATGCCTGCACGTCCAGTGAGGTGTGAGGTGTGAGTGTGGTGCAGTGTCAGAGCACTTACCCAAGTTTCATCCCTAGCACATAGTAAAATAAATAATAATAATAATAATAGTAATTAATAATGAAAGAAAGAGAGGAAGGAATGATGCGTTTGAATACCAAGAGTAAGATGTGTTCCCTGCATGCGCCATGAGAGAAGTTCAGTTTGGGACAGGTGGTGGTGGCCAGGCTGTTGTCCTGCAAACGGCTCACAATCACAATTCTCTTCCCTTGCAGAGCAAATCCAGCCCCACACCCTGTTCACACCACTGCTCATTGGTTTTGTGATCACAGCTGGCTTGATGGGCATTATTGTGATGGTTCTCGCCTACAAATATTTACAGGTGACTGTTGATTTCCTCCCTCTCCCCCGGATGCCGCAATGACCGAGGCTTTGATTGTTAAGCGGTGACATGTCTTTCCCTTTCTCCTCCAGAAACCCATGTATGAAGTACAATGGAAGGTTGTCGAGGAGATAAATGGAAACAATTATGTTTACATAGACCCAACACAACTTCCTTATGATCACAAATGGGAGTTTCCCAGAAACAGACTGAGTTTTGGTCAGTATGAAGCTGGGGCTTTCCACGTAGCTTTTTTTTGGTGTGTGTGTACACATAACAATGATTTTAAGGAACCTTCAGTGGCTTCCTTTGTCTTGTTTCACCTGAAACAAGAAGTGCCTTCTGTCAAATGTTACAAAAGTTGGCTGGGTTAGCAAAAGGAAGACTATAGTGAAGTTTCTCCAGACTCATTCTCCTTGAGTTGCCTTGTTGGTTTTGGAACCGTCACAATTGTCCACCGGGTCTTTCCGCTGACCTTGTCTTCCTTTCTAAAGGGAAGACGTTGGGTGCCGGTGCCTTCGGGAAGGTTGTTGAGGCCACTGCATATGGCTTGATTAAGTCAGATGCTGCCATGACGGTTGCTGTGAAGATGCTCAAACGTAAGTGTCCAGAGCGTCCACTACCTGCCCCCACCACCAGTTTGCCTTGTGGGTTTTTCTTTTCTTCATTTTGCTAAAATACATTGTTTTCCATTTTAGCAAGTGCCCATTTAACGGAAAGAGAGGCCCTCATGTCAGAACTGAAGGTCCTGAGCTACCTGGGCAATCACATGAATATCGTGAATCTCCTTGGAGCATGCACCGTGGGAGGTGAGTCTTGTGTCTACAGCACCTGTTGCTGTCTGTCGGGCTATCAAAATATGATTTGGACAGTGCTTAATTATAAGCTGTTTGGGAGTTGTTGTTGTTGTTTTTTCCAGTATTTTGTTCTGTTTTCCTTTCCTCAGCATTCCTAAGAATGTAGTTTTTTCGTTTTTTTGTTTCAGATTCCTGTCCTTTTGTTACTTTGAGATGAGGGCTATAGTTGCCACACTATGTTGTAGAAAATTGGGATTACTCCCCACAAGTGTGTTTTGGTGCCCATTACTCAGCCTCCCATTCCCCTCCCACTCGACAGTCCTAAGGACCTCTATCCAGCTCTCTGCAGATCAACATCTTAACTCCCACAAATGTGTGGCAACACGCAGGATGTTTCTTTGTATAGAGCCACTCACACCCTCCTTTGCTCATTATACATTGCATGCATGTATTGAATTATAATACCCTCCCCCTTTAACAGGTACAGGGATATAGCTTTTGGCTGTATCATCCCAAGGGTTGGGGGGATAGCCAGGTATATGCAACTTATTCTCATGGATGCTACATCATCATGGGCTCTTCTCTGGCTTGGCTCACCCAGAAGGCTTTCCTAATCTTAAAGCTTTAGATATTGCTGGGTCATAATTAATCACTCAGGAGTTAATGTTCTGTAGCAGAAAGTAGCCCTGAGCCTCCCACTTCTCAAATGTACCCCAAACAGAGCAAGCTTTTCACTTCCATTAAAAAGGAAGCTTTCAATTCGAACCCTTTAGTCAGTGTTCCCATTGAGGGCGTCTTGATGTTTGCAGGAGGCATTTTGTTCTAAAGGAACAAAGGTGTGTGGATTGAGCTGTTGCTGTCTGTCCAGAGAGAGCCACGAGACAGCAGACAGGTTTCGACAGTGTCTCAAAACAGCCCCCGTAACTGGTGCTTCATCAGGTCATGAATTGTTCATGAGGCAGTTTCTACCCACAGTAATTAGTTCCCTGTTAACTTGGAACAGTGCTTTTAAACATTCAGAGCACCAACTCTCTTTTCAACTAGTAATGTCAGCAAAACGGGTCGTTTCAGGTTCTTCGCCCACTTTCCAGACCGAGCTTAGCTGACTGTTCCATGTGGTTGATTCCCTACCAGGCTACAGCTCGGGCTCTTCATTTTCATAATAACATTACAGCAAGGACACAGAAACCTGCTGAACACAGAAGTGCATCAAAGGGTCCCTGTAGGAAGCTTGATCATGGTAGAACCTTTGAAAGCAGTCACTCGTGGCCGCAAAGCCAGCAGTCACTTCTGGTTCCTAATGTTCGTGTCACTTAGACATCCAGGTAGAAAGGGGCTTGCTTGTTTTATTTCACTCAACACAATGCTGCTTTCTTTGATAAGTGATGTTAATAGATAGAATCATGTTGGGACTAAGAAGGCTTAGCCACTGAAGCAGAACGTTAGTAGCCGTGGTCACCCTTGGGTATTTCTACAGGAGGCAGGATTATCTATAGTGTATCTTGCGTCTTCCTAACATTTTATTATATCCTCATAGGGCCCACCCTGGTCATTACAGAATATTGTTGCTATGGTGATCTCTTGAATTTTTTGAGAAGAAAACGTGATTCATTTATTTTCTCGAAGCAAGAAGATCAGGCAGAAGCGGCACTTTATAAGAACCTCCTGCATTCAAAGGAGACTTCCTGGTAAGGCTGATTTACATAAATAGTCAGCTGTTGACAGGCAGTTTGTGGGGTCATAAGGGTTTGCAATCAAGGCTGATTCTTTAAAGAAATGAACTAAGGTACTCTGAGGTGTGAAGCCAGATTATTAAATTATTTAAATGTGATTCACTATTTCAAAAGTTCAGATAGTACCCTTGAAGATTCAAATTGAGATTGTTGCTGATTTCTTTTAATGCGTGTTTCTGTTCTTCCCTAAGCCTGGGTTCTGTGGAACCAAATGTGTTTTCTACCTGTTTTCTTTTTACTGTGGGTCCATTCTTGTGTTTCTATTTATGCTCCTGAGCTTGGGCCTGTAGACATCTTCATAGGAGAATTATTTATAGGGCAGAGGGTAAAACCTGTCATGAGGCCACAGTTAAGTCTTGGGGACGGAGTAGAATGGCCAAGAGCACTGAGCATATTTCCATATGTATAGACTTCTTGTCATCAGCATTGTTTTTGTGTCCCTGCCATGCCCCCTCACTTTATTGTGTTATAAAGACATCATTATTAAAGAACAATGTTTGAATTCTGCACCTCTTTGACACTGGTCTTGAAAGATGATGATGCAAAGAATGATGTATATGCAGCTTCAAGTTCCTTGGAGAAAAACTAGTTTGATGTATAAACAGAATAGAAATCTCTGCCGTGGTTTGTGTCTCCTTCTCAAATGTGGTTGAGATCCACCATAGAAAAAGTCTTCCAAGGTCCACTCAGTCCAATGGAAACCATATTCACTCCCTAGCCCTCATATTTTATACCGCTGCAGTTGTGTGGTAGATTTTACCTCTTTTCATGTTTACTCTAAGTCCTGGCTTAGAATCCCAGCACCAGAAACTAAAATAATGAAATTCTATAGGAACTGTACTCTGTTTTTAGATGGCAGGATTTTGTCCTCTGAAGTCTTAATTCTAGACTTTTAAGGAGACCCTGGTAAATGTTGATGGACAATTACCTTGTAAAACCTTTTCTCACCACTGAAGTACCAAGTAAAGCTTTGTATTTTCATTTTAGTCCTGTAAACTTGAGTCCTGTGACGTGGTAGTAAAATGTCACAAAATCCACCTTTTGCTACTTTGCCTGAAGTCTGGAACCTGGGCCCTACATGTGTTTTTTAACTTTCTGAAATAATGGCTTGAATTGTTCTGTCCTGTGTGATGTTCTTTGCGCTTTGGGATCCCATATGGGTTTGGAGCCACCAGCACGCTCTGAAGGAGGTTGTTGTCATGGTGTTTCTATGCTAATCAGAGGCAGGAAGTACTAGAAATCTTGAAGAGTCTCCAGCCAAATGTTGCAGATTCAAGAGGTCCAGATGGTCTAGAAAACCATCCAAATTATTGGTGTTTATCTGAACCAAACTTGGTTTTTTTAAAACCTTCTTCCCTCAGTCACTGTACGCTTAACCATCTCCCCCCCTCACATGCCTTGGAAGTGTCTTGTTAACTTCCCCACTTGTCTGAGTAAGGGCTAATTTAGAGTCTAAAGTAATGTGAGGTAACAGTTTTGGGCTCTTTAGCACCCATTAAATCCACTATAGCTGGAGATGGGAAGCTTCTAACCTGATCCCCACAAAAAACACACTCCCGAGGATTTGACCTTAGTGTGAATGAAAAATCAGACCTTAATGTTGAATGGTAAATACTCATCTCTCCCAGAACCTAGTTTTGAAACTCTTCATTCAATGGTTGCATTACTTTTCTTGACATAAAATTAGTCTACTGTATGACGTACCAGGTAAGAACTGTAGCCTGACCTGTCATTGTCAGTGCTGTGTCCCCTTTCCAGTTCTGTTTAGTTCTGACTTAGGTGTTTCCTCTCTCCAGCAGTGACAGTACCAATGAGTACATGGACATGAAGCCTGGAGTTTCCTATGTTGTACCAACCAAGACAGACAAAAGGAGATCGGCAAGAATAGGTGGGAGCAACCTGGCATGCAGGAACTGCAATCAAACTATGTTCCTTATTTTTCATCTTGTCTCAGGGAGAGGGGCTGGGGGTCATGTGGAGTTTGAAGAAATGTGGGACAAGGATTTTGCCTCTTTCCCACTAACTGGAATGGCTTCGTCATTCCTGGGAAGAACCTACTGTGGCCAAGCAAGTGCTCAGTGGCAGTTAGGGCTCACAAGCAGATGTTTCTGACAAATGCATGTTTTTATATCTAATATCTTACTGTTATAGATGTTAGATTTTGAAAATGGATCCACCATTGTCCTAAGGATTCTGGAACCCTATGGGGGATTATTGGATAACTCTATTGACTTTGTGATTCAGAATCCACCTTTCTTCCCCCCTAAGGAGGTGATTGGCCCAGGGGTACACTCTGTTCATTAGCTGCTAGCCTCTGGTACTGTGACTGTTTCTGTCTTCTCCTTACCATTAAGGTTTTTATTGCTAAGAAAACCCTGTCTTCCTAATAGACTCGTATATAGAAAGAGACGTGACTCCCGCCATCATGGAAGATGATGAACTGGCTCTGGACCTGGAAGATTTGTTGAGCTTCTCCTACCAGGTGGCCAAGGGCATGGCGTTTCTTGCCTCCAAGAATGTGAGTGGCAGTGAGTCTTGCAAAAGGCACAGAGTCCTTTTTTTTTTATTTGAACGTTTCATAGTCCTAGTTAGAATGCAGAGTGTCATTTTGAAGTGTGGTAACCAAAAGCAGAGGAAATTTCGTTGCTTCATGTTCCAACTGCTGTCTCTTTGGAATTCCTGCTCTAATTTATAAGCTTGAAAGTGCAAACCTGTCTAAATGAGCTTCCATGAATATTCTTTTATATGCAGTGAATTCATTTCGAACTTTGGCTTTAAGATGTGGGGATACATTTCTAGAAAATAGAATGATAATGGCTTATGAGCAAATTCGGAGTTAGGAGTATGCTTCACTGTTACTATGGCACATAGCTGGGCTCCCGTGGGGTGAGCCCCACAGATTGTACATATGGAGTATCAGGCGGTAAGAGGTCAGAGAGGACAATGAACAGTTGAGTAAAGGATGTCGGTGGGAAGAGAAGGAAGGAACATGATTTTGGAAGAAGTGTCCCTCAGCGGAAAGGAATCACCCAAGAGTGAGGTCACAGCGACTGCTCTAGTGACATGTCCAGACAATTACCAAACTAAGAGATGGGCTGAAATGAAGACCCCTACTTTGTGTCCTTGGGAGATGTCAAGTTGAAGCTGTGAAATGTCTTTTTGGAGGAGACATTCAAAGGGATGCATACAAAATGAACTTTCAGTTTAGAAATGCAATTTGACTATTTATAATGCATTTTCCTATGAATGAAAGCAGTTGTAGGGGGAGGAGGACGTTTATTAGAATTGGGGTGGGAAGCAATTGGAGAAAGATGTTTATTAGAATTGGGGTGGGAAGCAATTATAGTAATTAGAGTCCTGATCGTGTGAAACACAGAATGTGAATATCATTCGAGGCATACTTTTTATTTTTGGTGTACTAAATACTTTAAAACAAAAGTTGTTTTTTTGCTTTTTTATGTAAACAACATTGTAGTATTAAAAATAGTTTTCTCTTTGAGAGCTGAAGTGAATGGCTGTCATTTTCTTCTCTATCCCAATAGTGTATTCACAGAGACTTGGCGGCCAGGAACATCCTTCTCACTCATGGTCGGATCACAAAGATTTGTGACTTTGGTCTAGCCAGAGACATCAGGAATGATTCCAATTATGTGGTTAAAGGAAACGTGAGTACCTTTTTCTATCCCACCATTTTGGTACCCTGGTATCCAGTGTTGACACAAAATTGTTTTCTATGATTGTCATAATCCAACCCCTACCTTGCAGTGCCGAGTGTTTTAGCAAAATTTGCATGGCATGTTGAATGTTCCTACCACTAACATTTGATAATAGAATTCTTAGTTATAATTGTGTAATTATGGGGCATGTTAAGGAAATAGAAATAGCCTTAATTTTCATTATAGCCTGAGAATAGCAATGGATTTGATTTTGCTCAACTGTAACAAATGTAGACCTGAAGGTCACAGTAGGCAGGTTTTTTGTTTGTTTGTTTGTTTGTTTGATGTTGAACTACCATGTGAAAATGACTACAGACTAAGATGGTGTCAGAGTTAGCTGTAAGGAATGCTGGGTCTCATAGTCAGTATAAGGCTATTAAGTAGACTCATAAATAATGGTTGGTTTGTGGAACGTAGTGAATTTTTCAAAGTGCTGTATTTCACCACCAGCCTTTCTGTAACCTCAAAACAAACTCGTGCCTTAGAACACATTGTCTTCCAATTTTTATAGCAGGAGAAACCAAGGTGCACTATATTTTAGTGATTTATATCTGAGATAGCTTAGTCAGTAGGGGCCAGTGGGTATGGAAGGCCATAACCTTCTAGATATATATTCTTAGATGCCTATTTTTTCCGGGTCCATTTGAACAGTCCATATTTATTCCTGGAGGTCAATTTTTGTATCTGTCATGATGATGCAATGCCTTGTCTTTCATCGCCATGGCTCCTCTGTTGGTAGGCTATTCACAGCTTGGTTTTGTAAAGGTATTGCTGACTTTATATCCTGGCCCAATCATACAGTTCTGAAAAGGCTCCATCAAGGTCAGATTTTCTTTCTTTCTTTCTTTCTTTTGACAGGAGAATTGATGAAAACAACTTCTTTCCATCCTGGCTTAATACTTAATAGAAAATGGAAAGTGCTTTACTGTGTTATCCTCTGAATATTGATATAGGAGCAAGATAGTCTAGGCCCAGGCTGGCTGAGTTCTGCTCTGGTCCTATTAGCAGATGTATAACTGACAAGAGAGAGTTACTCAGTACTTACAGGAGTTAGTACTTGGCAGAGGTCTCAGAACAGAGCCAGGCCCATTCTTATTCTACTTTGTGGTTTTGAATTTCAAACCATCAGGATAGAGCTTGTGCCCCAATATCTGCCTAGCTAATTCTGTAGTTGACAGGTCAAGTCAGTTGAACTAACCAATTATTTGAGAAAGTTTAAAACACAGAAATGTACATGACATGGTGCTGCATGGAAGTTTAAGTGTAGTCATTGTGAAGTTCCTTTGCTCTCTGAAAATTCTTTCAGTTCTTGTGAATTCTTAACTATTTTTCCACCCTGGGCTCTGAGTCCAGGGTAGCCTATGGACCCCCTTGTCAGAAAACCATTTCAAATGAATGGAATACTTAGATTTAACCAAGCAAAGCAGATATGTTGAATAACAATTTTCAGATTTTGAAAAAGAACTTATGGTAGACAGCATACTCACTTCTTTATTGCATGAAACAACACATAAAAACTATTCTAATTTCAAAGTGATCGTGAATGGAAATTTTGTTTTGCAATTCCTGTAAATATTGAGATCGGACATGAAGGTGTCTGATGACTACAGAGGACAAGTCATGAATCCTGTTTTACTGCTTTTATAGTTTTAGAAAATGCTAGACTTCACTTAGAAGTTACTTTTTAGATACCTAGCCCCCTTGAATTCAAGACACTAATCCATCCTAGGTTAACAGCTCTGTTCGGAATTGCAGCATAGTATCTGGGGATAGAAAGTAGGTGGTTTTATAGTTTGTATGTGTATCATTCCCTACCCCAACCCCACACTAAAATAACTTAACCCTAGAAGAGGCTGTCTCCCTACTGTTAAGTCCTAAACCGATTTAAAGGATTGATTTAGCTTCATGTGGCAGATTAATACCCAGAAATCCTGACAGACTCTTAAGAGGCAGCATAGTCATGGTAAGTTTAGTGGAAGGCTCCTGAATGTCTCCTGGTGTAAGCACAGATTCGGCCACTTCCCACCTCAGAACAGCCACCGCTCTCGTCTGTGCTTGTTAGTCTGGGTGGATATTTGTGGGTTGGACACTGTTGGGCATTTTTACCTGCATTACCTCATTTATCATCCCATGAAACAACTCCTGGTATTTGAAGGGTTATTTTTGTTTTGCAAGATGAATCTGAAACTGGCTTATCTGTATTTGGGTAACTTCTCCAGTAAGGGAGTGAGGGGTAGTACAACAAAAAGCTCAGCACCGGATCCTTCTAAATGTCTATGTTTTGTCATTCATGTGCATAGGAAAGAACAGGGACCCAAGTGCATAATCCCTATGGTATTTTAAGGTTTTTTTTTTCTCTTTTTTTCTTGTTTTTGGCATGCCACTACATAAAACTTGGTTCTTAGCTGCTAAAACTAAGTGGTCTGGCTATAGCTAGCTGCAGAGGAAGCTGGGAAATGTAGTTCAAATTGGGAGAGGCCATATATTTTGTTGACAAAGAGGAAGAGTGAAGTAGAAAGTGTCTTCATTGTCCAAGGCCTTTATTGGAAGGAAGGTTAGAACCCGTGGACTTCTATATTCTAGTCTACTATACTGACTCATCACTGTTAGACCCAGGAGTCATAAATGGAAGGTGGCTTGTGGATCATGAAGGTTCAAGGTCCTGATAGGTGGTACTTACCTCTACCTTCCAGCCAGATCTGCACCAGCAGGACAGCTTTCCATTTTGTCATTTGAGCCTATTCTCCTGTGTTTCCTCCTAGGCCCGACTGCCTGTGAAGTGGATGGCACCAGAGAGCATTTTCAACTGTGTGTACACATTTGAAAGTGACGTCTGGTCCTATGGGATTTTCCTGTGGGAGCTGTTCTCTTTAGGTAAAACATTCCTTGCCAAAAATTACTTCATTGCCCAACGGTTTCTGGAGGTTTCCTTTGTATTCTACTCACTGGTGATTGACACTGATTTGCCCCTTTTTCTGTGCTCTAGGAAGCAGCCCCTACCCAGGGATGCCAGTTGATTCCAAGTTTTACAAGATGATCAAGGAAGGCTTCCGGATGCTGAGTCCAGAGCACGCACCTGCAGAAATGTAAGGACCCGAGGCCTTTTCTTAGAATTTCCTTTTTAAAGGCAGAAAACCCAGATGTTGACAGTCTTTGCTAGCACAGTTTGAAATGTCACTTCATTCCTTTGGTGGCTACTGTGGCTCAAATGTCACGGCTGTGGTTCTCTTCATAATCTCTTGTCACCAATAGTATAGACACGTTTGACAGTATCTCACACACACACAGGGTTTTATTCTGGGTATATATGTCACTTCACACATCCTGGTGCATAGCCCAGATTTGTTATTGAAGTTGCTGTGTGGTGAACAGCAGACAGCAGGTTAAGGGCATCAAGGAGTGATCCACATTGGTCCCCATTTTGCAGGTATGAAGTAATGAAGACTTGCTGGGATGCCGATCCCCTGAAAAGGCCGACCTTCAAGCAGGTTGTGCAGCTCATTGAGAAGCAGATCTCAGAGAGCACCAAGCATGTGAGTGACAGGCTGGGCCCAGAATCCTCTTCTTCCTCGTTCTAGGCTCATGGTCCCCAGGCTTCCAGGACAAGAACCAGTCTTCCCCCATCTCCCTGGTTTGGATTATAAACAGGCCTTCAGAAGGTGAAAACAAAACAATAGTAGTCCCGTTCTTGCTGCTCACACCCTCCCCAACCTCCACTTCCCTTCTAATTCAGAAGGTGAAAACAAAACAATAGAAGTCCCGTTCTTGCTGCTCACACCCTCCCCAACCTCCACTTCCCTTCTAATCCAGAGAGATGTGAGATGGGGGAGGCAGGTCTTGTGCTCAGATGTGTGGAATTAGATGTTATCATAAGGCTTCCAATGCTTCCTCCCTGTCCTGGAATGTCGATCATGGGACTGTCTGGTCTCCTCCTCACATGGCGGGATCATTCATCCTGTGTGGGTTAGAGTGAGTTAGAATGACAGCATGAAAGAAGACAGCCTCTTACCACAGTAAAGTGAGCATTAGACAGCCAGAACCAGCCGGTGGCAATGGCTGTGATGCCCACAACCATGTATGTAGAGGGTTGTTTGAAGTTAGGACATCCCTCCCAAGTGTTTGCAGGAGTGTAGAATGAAATAAATCCATTATTTCCTGTTTGGCTTTTAAGGAAGAATTAGCCGTCTTTACTGGGACTGGACTTGTACTTTAGCTGCTTCCCCTCTCTTCTGAGCCATCTGTTAGGAACTCCTTTCTAATAGCACACCACTGATCCTTTGGGTTAATGCTTGCTCTGCGGGGCATCAAAGCACATTTCAAATGAAACATCATTTTCCACCCAAGTGCTTTGATTCCTGACAAATGACCTCTGGAAGAGTCATAGGTGTCGCTGCAAATTATACCAGCAATTGGGTTGTAGTTGGCGCTAGGGATCCGTTAGCTTCCTTCATAGGCTAGCCAGTGCTTGTTCAAAGATGTGTCCCACGAGAAGAGAAACATTGCAAGCACTGTACACTTCTTGTGTAAAATGATTTCCTTGTGGTGGGAACTGAAGTGTAAACCTGATCTAAGTTTCAGCCACTGTTTCCTGCCAAACCCTTGTCTTTTAGCATTCTGCAACTGTGAGTACCCCTGCTTGCTGCATTTGTCAGAGGTCATGCCCTATTTGACTGTGGCCTCTTTCTCTACAGATTTACTCCAACTTTGCAAACTGCAATCCCAACCCGGAGAACCCCGTGGTGGTGGACCATTCTGTGAGAGTCAATTCCGTCGGCAGCAGCGCTTCTTCTACCCAGCCTTTGCTCGTACACGAAGACGCCTGAGCACAAATCTGTCCAACAGGCTTCCCTGCTGTCTCCATCCCCGTTCTTTCGGCTTCCATGATGGTTATTTCGTTTTCCTTTGACTTGTATCCCACTTCGGGGTAGCTGGTCCCCCCCATCCCCACCCCACTGTGATCCTGTCTTTACGAGCACACTTTAGTGGCTGATGACCCCTTTGTTGCCATCAGCCACCGTCCCACTGCGAAGGTCCGAACTGTATGTGTATATATTTTCCCAATAGCAAAGTAGCTCCTACTGTAAACAGAACTCCTGCTTTAGAGGAAGGGAGGGTGGGGTGAAACTAGATGCCCAGAGTTATTTGCAGTGCTCCTCTGAGTCTGTCGGAAGGTATGGCCAGTAGTCCATTGGAAGAATAAAAGTCATCCCATTTGGCCTAGAGAGCCCCCCAAGATGGTGGGGAAGATGTAGCAAGACTAGAAAGTGAAACCCAAGCCCTTTGTGTGAAAAAGTAGACCATTATTAGAACAGAGGACACGTGAAAACATCTGGGCTTAAGAAATCTAGTAGTTCATGCTGAGAAGGAGACCTAGGCTGTGAAAGAAAATGCCCCAGAAGCTTGAACAAAGATGCTTTGCCGTGGGCTGCTGCACCGGCTTTTGTACAACTGACCTGGTTTTTAAATAGAGTTGGCTGTTAGGAATTGGAGGCAAGGCCTCCTAGCCAGCATTTGTATATATTCATCTGTACGTAGTATGTGTTCATACATCAGAGGGGGGAACCCTGCAAGCTTTAGTTTCTGTGTTCAACCCTGGCATTAGGTCTGCCGTGTGTAAGAATAGATTAAGAGCCATACAGATTTGAAGGAAACAGTTAATGCATTTTCTAAAGGAAAAATGTTGACTGCTAAGCACAATCTTTATAAAAACCTCTTAGCCAGTGTACTTGCTCTGTAGATTGCCCAGAACAAGCCTCCCAGCTTCAGAGTGGCATTGCAGCCAAGTGAACTGACACTGTTTTGAAAAGGTTAGTTACCATTTTACCCCATGATTCCTGCAGGAGTGAGGAAGCAGTGCAGTCCTGGCTTGGATTCTCACATAGCAGGAAGTGAAAGTTAGATTCAGCCTTTTTTATAGGCACATCCTGGACTTTGGGCCAGTATCTATATAAGTGTGTATGTGTGTGTGCATGCGTGTGTATATGCGTGTGGATGAGATGTTTTGGGGACCTCATTGCCCTGAATCCTGGAGGTCCTCCAGTACCCAAGAAGTAACAGCTTTCTTCGCCACTCCTGTCTCTCTCCTGCCTCCCTGCACATCGCCCACCATCCAGAAGAGATTACCCAAAGCCACCACAAGAGGCTTACAGGGTGGAGCGCTTAAGAATCTATTTATTTGAAATCCACCTGCACTTCTGACACTCTTATCTATACTCAACATACTGTACCCATTCCTTTGACCTTATATAATGCTATCTATCATTCCAGGAAAATGTAGACTAGAAGCCTGGATGTTACCTTGTAGTTGCCATTCCTCCTACTCCCCATCATCACTGTCCAGTATAAGCGATAAGTGTGTACATGGCAAGATTTACGTGTTGTCTTGCAGGATTCAGGTATGTTGCCTTCACGGTTTCCCCCAGTTTTTTATTCCTATTTAGAGATGTGTGGCCATTAACCTGGAAGTGACCATTTGCACTGGAGTTCTACACTCTCGCACCTTTCCAAAGTTAACTGATTTGGAGGCTGTGTTGTCATGTACGAGATTGTCACTGTTTGCCATACTTTGTCTGGAACATTCCTTTGCATTCCTATCGACTTTGATTATAGTAAGGAAAGTAGCTGTTAATTATGGATGTCTAGGTACTTCAGGGGCGTACCATTGAGAATTTGTCTTGGATATTCTTGAAAGTTTATATTTTTATAATTTTTTTTTACATCAGATGTCAGATGTTTGTTTCAGTTGCTTGTTGTTTGGAATTATTTTGTGGCTTTTTTTTTGTAAATATTGAAATGTAGCAATAATGTCTTTTGAATATTCCCAAGCCCCATGAGTCCCTGAAAATATTTTTTATATATACAGTAACTTTATGTGTAAATATATAAGCTGTGCAAGTTTAAACATGTTATGGTTCATGTGTTCTTTTTTCTGATATATTGTCCAATTGTTGACAGTTCTGAAGAATTCTAATAAAAATGTAAATATATAAATCAAATAAGTTTTTCTGTTTTTTTTTTCAAAGTACATTCACCCAGTCAGAAAGTTTTGTGCACAATTTGTATAAAATACATGTAGGACTCAATCACACTAGGAATTATAACTTGAAAATTCAGTGGACATTCGTAAGTAATTTTAGTGTGTGCTATTTTCTTTATCCTTACAAGCCAAGGTCTCTATTTAAATTGAGAAATGTAGAAGATATTTTGAGAGTTTTCCATATCGCTATGATTAACATTAGGTTGATTCATGAGAAGTGACTATTTGTTGGCAAAATAACAGTAAATAACAGCAATTTCATGTGGTCCAAGCTAATTCACACAGCATGTTTTCTCCTAAAACAGATTGACTAGAAATTAGCTTCAGTAGTAATGTACAAGGTTATATCAGGGATCTGAAGAAAGCAGTTCATGTTCTCTTGTTGGTGAGGGTTTTAGGTGAGGTGACTTCATCATAAGGTGAGGTAGATGCTCTTGTCCTACTATCTGGCTGCTAATGACAGAGTTCTGGTCTTGGCTTTTCACTTGGAGCCCTGTGGTATGCAAGGAGGCTATTCTCCTGTGGCTAGATCATTCTGTGATACGAGCAGGCACCAACCAGACCATTGGAACCAACTGAGATGAAGAGCTTTCCTGTACCACATAGCCTCTTAGGAATGGGTTGTGGAGGCATAGCTCAGTCAGTCAAGGCACATGTTGTACCTGAGTTCCACCCCCAGAGCTCATTTTTAAAACAGGAAAAGAAAAGCCTTGATGTGGTAGCACACACTGATAAATCTTACGCGCCTATAAATCCCCAGGCTGGAGAGGTGGAGAAGGGGCTATGGGACTTACCAGCCAGCCAATCTAGTCCCCTAGTAGTCAAGTCCTATCCAGTGAGACGTCTCAATGAAAACATGGACAGAGAGAGCCTAAGGAATGAAACCTGAGGTTGTCCTCTGACCTCCACATACATGTGAGTACACAATCAACATACATGAACCTACTACATACATGCTAAAATGAGTTATATGCCCAAACCACATCAGTTTTGACTTGCTGTATAGACATGTTGTGTACACCTGCTGAAGTGTGTCCCCAGAGGGAAAGGAAAAGAGTAGAAAGATGAGCTGGAATGAAGACAAATGCCTCTAAATCAGGAAGGAATTTTGTGGCTAGGAAGGCATAGGCATCAAAAATTAGGAAGACAGATGGACAGATATTTCAGTCAGGTGATGGCCACTGTCTTATTAGAAACAGGAATGTTAATTGACCACAGAACAAAGAGGCCTTTTCTTCCCAAATGTTTTCACTGTCACTTAGCCTTTTTGTGTTTGAAATCTTGAGTTGGAAACAATTGAGGAGCTCATGTTATTAGTCTGTAGTTCTTTCTCCCACTGGCCCAGGCCTTCATTGTCCAAGCTCAAATTGAGTTCAAATCTTGGTTTAGCCCTGTCTTACCAGCTGCCTGTGTGAATTTGAGCTGATTGGCTGTTTAAATCTAAGTTTCATAGTACTACAAGTACCGACATGCACTAGTAGGAAACCTTTACAAGCACCTCTCTTATAGCCTAAACATACGTATGTATTCAGCATGGTAAATTTGGCTTAATAAGTAGAAGAAAATGCTGTACTCCTATGATGGCCATATGTCATAGGGACTGAACAATCCCTTCCAATGATATTACCTCCCTCCTAGCAAACAACATTGTCCTAGTTTGAGGCAACTATGCAGCGGGGATTTCTATGTTCCCATCAAAATTCCAACACCTTAAACAGTAATTCAAGACTACTTCACCTTCTGTGCTTCACTCCATGTTCACTAGCCCATACATAGGCCCTACTGTCCTTTTCTGCCTCCAATCTCACACCTCATGTCTCCTAACAAGCCTCCATCTTTCAAGACCAGCAAAATATCTCAGAAGTTGCCTCTCAATTCTCACAACATTTCATGCTTCTGGGGGCTGTTTCCAGTAGTTCTGTCTCAATTACAGTTATTCTGGCTCTTATCTCCCCCCATCTAGTCTGAAAAATCAATTAACAGAATACCTATATGCTCACTGGTGTGTGCTTGCCTAGTATTGAATCATGCAGTCATTTGGACATTGTGTAGTATGGTTCTCTACTGTTGTGGTAAAATACAATGACCAAAATCAACTTGGGGAAGCGTTTATCTCAGCTTATAGTTGCCCATCATGAAGAGAAGTCTAGGCAGGAATCTGGAGTCAGGAACTGAATCTGAGACCATGAAGGAACACTGCTTAGTATCTTGCTCCCCGCTGGCTTGCTCAGTTTGCTTTTTAATACCCTCCACCCCAGGTTCACCTGCCTAGATGTGGTACTTCCTACAGTAAGTTGGGTCCTTTCATGTCAGTCATTACAAACTTGCCTACAGACTAGTTTGATGGGGCATTTTCTCAGTTGAGGTTCCCTCTTCCCAGATGACTCTTGCTTGTGCCAAGTTGACCCCCCCCAAAAAAAAACCTAGCCAGCACAGAGATTAAATGGCCCAAAAGGTTCTGAATTCCTGAAGACCTCTCCCTTGGCAGTCTATGGAATTATAATCTGCATCCAGATCTGAATTTTCACTTCAGTCACACAAATGCCCAGTATTCCTGTGCTGACATCTCCCACCCGTGTCTGTTGAAGACATCACGTCTCCATCCCAGCCCTTCTCTGGTCCAGAGTTCTTGGGAACTCTGGCCATAATCAGGTAAACTGTTATCTGTCCTGAGGGAGTCTGGGCTGTCTCTCCCTGACCCCCACCCCACCCAGAAATGGTCAACAAGTTCCTATGTTCTTGAGGCATGTTCCCCAAGTACAATGCCCCCCTTTCAGACCCCAAGGCTGTAAGTACCATGTGTTAACTAATAGTTCTCATATAAATAATTAAACATTGCATCAGTTGGGGATGAAGGAAAGCCATCAGGAAGGAAATGCTTTCAGAAAAACTAAGACAAAACTGGCTAGAGTGGGACCTGAGGAAGCAGTCTGCAGTGCACCTTGGGCAGGGAGGAGGAAATGCTGAGAACTCTGATCAGTACTCCACCGAGCAGGGAGGGCTTGCAGAGATGGTAAGGGTTGAAAGGGAGGGAGTGTGGCATGGGGGAGGAAAGGCAGAGAGGAAGGAAAGGGACACAAATTCTCCTGACTTTAGTAGAAGGAAGCTGAAAAGTTCAGGACCAGGGTGTGGCAAGATCTGAGGGAGTCTGCTCTACTCTCTGCTAGCTTCTGGCAGATCACTGGAGATTCTCGGTTTATGTGTTTCTGCCTCTCTCAACCCCCACCCCGTGTGTGTGTGTGTGTGTGTGTGTGTGTGTGTGTGTGTGTGTGTGTGTGTGTGTGTGCACCCCACTCTT